CCAGTGGCTCTGAAGGGCTACTCCCACCAGACTTGGCTGACTCGAGTAAAGGATCATGGACATCCAGCGAGTCCGAACAACGAAGCAACGTATCGTCCAGGCTGGTCAAAAGCCCTAGCCAAGAGTATTTGGTTTCCCGTCATCTGTCTACAGTCCCAGAAGAGGCAGAGGAAGCGGATAACCAGAGTTCCATGAGCGAGAAGAAAATCAAGAACGACAAGAAAATCAACAACGACGAATCGTCACAATCCTCACAAACTTCGCGGAAGAGTCAAGGGTCCGGAGACCGATCGCGCTCTGGACCTTCCAAGGCTCTCCGTGAGCTCGCTGCAAAATGTGGGGAGCTGTCTCCTCAGGAGCTAGAAGACAAGGAGGACAACTTGATTGTTGGGATTCATCCAATGTCCCCAAGTTACTCCCAAGCTCCCCCTTATGCTTCCAACGTTTCCCCGATCGTTTCCCACGCTTCCCCCATCGCTTCCAGTGTTTCCCCTCCTTCGTCAAATGAGAGTGAACTGGCCGACGATCGCGATGACGAGGAAGTGCTCCCACCGGATCAAATCGACCTTCCAGAAGAAGATCAAGCCTATGCCGAACAGTACAGTACACTGCTCAAGGAGATGACCATAAAAGCAGTGGAGGAAGAAGACTACGTGCTGGCCGTACAACGAATGCAAGAATTCATGAGATTGGCACGATCCAGTCCGGAGCACACTCGAGATCATCCGGATTTTAAGCGGTGCGTGGAGCTGTTTTTGGTCTTTTCCGTGGCACTGAAAGAGTGTGATTATCGCAAGTGCCTGCAACAGATGAATGCCTTGATTGCAATGTCCGAAGGTGGAAACGTGGAAGCTCAAAAGTGCACGGAATGCGGGGTGAATGCTGCAATCAAACACATTATCGAGCTCCGCGAGCGAGTGATTGAAGTGACAGCTCAGCTCCATTGTATTGCGGACCCGGATGAGTTCGATCAAGTAGCGGAAGAACTTCGAACTCTTCGAGGAAAGGTGGAGAACTCCAATGTGCTAATGGAAACTTGCATGCGAGGAAGCAACGACAAGGGGAAGTCAGAGACTGTGCTTGCTTGCATTTCATACGGATTCAAAGTTGGTCGGCTAACCAGGTAGAGGGCAGCTAGCTAGCGAAGCACCAAGACCAAGGCGAAAATGGAGCTGACTGAACGCAATTAGCCTGTGACTGTTAGAGTAAGTGGAAGAATGATCCTTCACTCGAGGGGCTGTTTCCTCTTATGCATGCATTGCTTCATCCATCCATCACCCAGCAATTACTATATTGGCTTCTACACCAATAGTATAAGTTTGTAGCCTAGTTTAGATGATATCCAACACGTTTTCCGAACGATGAGTCAATACATATATTTCCATGAACTAGGCAGCTCCAACGAAGTTTTGAGCAAGCTTTCACGCATGAAAAAGCGCAATTTTAAAAGCTTCTACCGTATCTGCATAAACGACCACAACCACAGCGTGTTGTGCCGTCGTGGAACATTTGCCCGAATGACGAACATCCGTGATCCCAGCTCCAAGAAGCGAACACCGCCAACGCCAACAAGCCAACAACCATGACCAAAGACCATGTTGTTGACTTGGTACCAATAGCTGGGTTGCCAGGATGGGTCCAAATAGAAACCACAAAAGCAACACCATACAGCAAGCCCCAGTCATCGAATCATGAGCAATGTACCAGAAGTAACCGGAGCAAGATCCAGCCGCCAGAAAACAAGGAAGACATCCAAATGGTCATCGACGTGGATCTACTTGTTGGCGTTGCTTTTGGGCTGGTGTGTGATCACCTGGTACTTTTCCTTTTCCGTCCACAAAAGCAGTACCAGCAATAGGAATGGAAATGAATTTTCGAATGTAGTAGTGCCCCCAAGAAAGACGCCCACCAATGTTGACTTGCAACAGCGCAAAGAGTCCGGAAGTTTGTCATCGGGAGACCAACACTTTCTCATTTCGTACTTGACAATGACAGGGCAGTTCCAGCAGGAGGAGCAAAGTAGCAGCGATGCACAGAAAGCACAAGAGATTTTTTCCAAAGAAATGAGGCGAGTCCAAGCCTGGTTGCTACAAACACAAAAGAGTCCCTTTTTGCCCCTCACGGCATATTTGGAGTCACCGTTGCCTCCTTACAATGACACTCAAGTCCCTCGGTTGCTCTCCACGCATCGACTGGCCAACAAGCCCCAAGATCTGATACAAAGAGAATACACTACGGATACGCCACAATCCTGCCTTGATTTGCCCAATGCGTTTCCCGTGATGAAACCACCCACCGACAAGGAAGAAGCAGAAACTCAAAATAGTAAGAATGACTGCCCCATTCACGGCGATCCCTTTTTGCCGTGGATCCATGATGCCTTTGTGTCACAGTCGGGTACCGTGGTGGAGATTGTTGCCCACAATCAACGAAGATGTCATACCAATCCAAAACAATACTTTCACAGGCTGCAACACTTGGAACCACAAGTGACCATCATGCAAAGTGTGCCCGTGATTCGAGAAAAGGCAACCGGTAATGGTGCCTATCGGTACCGATTGGCATCGCTACAAGAGGCTGCCGCCAACACGGATGCTGTTACGGAAACCAGATTTATTTGTCACTTTCATACCCAAGTGCTGGCCAATAATCAGGAGGGCGACACTCTGCAAAGGATTCCTCTCGGAGAAACCTTGAGTGTCTTTCCCTACAATTACGAACATGCCAATGATCGAAAACGCAACAGCAAGCCCATGCTGACCCGTGCGACTTCTACCAGTGATGACAAGACGGCTTTGCACAATGAACAAGTGTGGAATTCACTGCTTCACTTTCAATGTCCCATTCCAGCCCATTTGCAATCACTACTACTATTGCAAGACAACAAAAGCGGCATTTATGTGGATGTCGTACCCATTCGCACGTATCCTCGAACAGAACGGGAAGGATACTTTGATCGGAAGGCCAGAAACATGTCCATCGGCAGTGGCAGCAACATGTTGTTTGATCCTGTACTCGAATGGGGTATTGGCAATAATAGTAACCAAAAGCATTGGCTGCCCACCGTGGAGCAAAGTGGTCGATGGGCCAACATTCCACTCTGTCGAATACCAGCAACACCAGAGTCACAACAGCAAGGCGACAAAAAGGATATTCAAGAGCGCGACAGGCAAGACCGACCGAATACTGACATCAGTTCTTCTGACAAGAAGAAACACTTTTTGTCAGCTTGTGTGTGGGCATCCGCTACCTTTACCACTCGGGGATCGTCGGATCCCGACACGTCGACTTCTCTGAGACTGATAGAATGGCTCACCTACCAGTTTGAGATTGCTCAGTTCGACCACGTTTACATTTACGACAATTCTCCTACCGATGGTGCTACGACGTTGGAATCGGTAACACGTCTCTTTCCTTCCCATCAAGTTACTCGGATCCCTTGGAAGCACCCCGTCTGCAACAATAAGCCACCTGGTTCGAATAATCCTGGAGAGCGCAGTAGTCAATATGCCGCCGAAGCCAGTTGTCGCATCCGATACGGGCCCATGACGCAGTGGCTGGCAGTTCTGGATACCGACGAGTACTTGATTCCACAACAGCAAAAATCGCATGACAAGATATCTTTGCGACAATGGTTGGAACAGGCCAGCATAGAGCATGGCGATACCAAGATTTGGAGCTTTTATCAGACCCGCGCCATACCTAACATTCGACTAATGGACGCGGTTGCATCGGCCAACCATCCACAGTTTCAATGGAAGAAACGTGACAATACAACCTTTTTGGAAACTTATAATTGCGACCGTCTACAGTTTCCAAAGCCAGGCTGGGCTTGGCGTGCTCAAAAGCAAATCTTTCAGCCGTCCTTTGTCCTCATGCACTTTGTTCACTATTCCATCGTCACACGACGACTGCTCGAAGCACCCAACGAATGGTCAGGCTTGTACAAAGATCGACCACCGAACGAACGACGTGTCGACGAACGAAACCAAGCATTCTTGCTTCATGCCAAGACGACATCCCCCAAGGCGACAGAGTATTGGAAGAAACAGTGCCCCGTTGTCACCGTTGACGATACAAAGCCAGACAGAAAAGGCAAAGACAAGAAAAGTAATGACTGTCCTGTTGGCATTCCGTATCCCCCGGGAGCCAAGGAGGGAGCGACGGATGCTGGGGGACGAGAGTACAATTGCTATCCCCACGAAGTCGTTTCCGAGGTTGTGGTACCTAGATTAAAAGAGCTTTTGCCACCGCTCCTTCAACGGTACCGCGAAATAATCAAATACTAGCAAGTAACACACACAGCTGACGCAGTTCCGTTCAATATGGCCATGATCAGCAAATGTCTTCTGAAGAGGACTGATGTAGAACACCGTGCCGGTGCGATAGTCGACCTGTAACCAACCGCTTAGCTGGAGGAGACCAGTCTAAAGTACTAGAATGGATCCTCAAAGCTTCAATAGCCCGTTCGTCTTACCCTTCAGGGATTAAGAAGTTCCCTGGGGCGCCATGAAAGCCTACACATCAACAACCCACACAACACCAACCACACACACCACCCCCGTTCACAAATCCAGCCAACTGAGAGGCACTGGATCCAGGTCCGAACCAAAACCGCGCGTAACTCATCGAGTGCACAAGACGGACTCAAAAAGAAAACACTTCGCTTCCAACTACTACCTAGCTTGACTTGAGCTAGCTTGACTTGAGAATAGATCGGAAGAAGGAGAGCAGAGCCATCTCGTGTCTCACGTCTCATGGCTGTCGGTCATAAAGCACATGGGCCTGTAACATACTCTAGCTAGCTAGTACGTACCGTAGGGCGCTCACCTTGACCACAAAAATCCCGCACCTCTACTGTGCACACCTCAGTGGCAACATTCTGCACCTCTAGAGCGGGCACCTCGGTGGCAACATTCTGCACCTCCAGGGCTTGCACCTTGGTGGCAACATTCCGCACCTCTGCTAGGGCTCGCACCTCGGTGGCAACATTCTGCACCTCTGGGGCTTGCACCTCGGCAGCAACAACTCTGCACCTTGGTTCTGCACCTCTGGGGCTTGCACCTCCGCAGCAACAACTCTGCACCTTGGTGGCAACATTCTGCACCTCTTGGGCTGGCACCTCAGAGGCAACAACTCTGCACCTCCACTGTGCTCGGTGGCAAAATTCAGCACCTCCGCGGCAATACTCCAACCGAGCTTTGCAATTATAAATATCAACATATGGGCCTTTGTCAGCGTCCAATTGGTCTAGTGGCATGATTCATCTTTAGGGAGTCCTCCGGGACCATAGCTTGGATGAGGTCCCGAGTTCGATTCTCGGATTGGACCGCCTTTTGCCTTCCTGACCTCCCAGATGTCCATCACATCAGCTAGAAATTTTTCTGTGAGCACCACTGAGCCCAATGGATGATGGCTGCACCAAAAGGTTTGGTCTCCACCCCTCATTTCTTGCTCCCACGGTGGAATTCTTTTCCATCACCACAATCAAGTTGTGCTCGACCTTGCTGATTTAGTATCGGTTATGGACTTCACCGTGACAAACCCCCGTCACTCATCGCCCCCAGCCTTGCTGGCCCAGATTGACTCGTGCTCCTACTCCCTCTGATCCTGTCATTCAAGACCAATGTAATCTCGCCGTCCTGGTAATTATTGTATCTTTGATATGAAGGTTGAATCCCTTGGTTGTGGTGATACGGAATCACAAGGGCCTTTCCAAGTGGGAGATTGCTAAGAAGACAAAAGTACCTGTCTCAGTGCACTGCACTTCACCCCATTTGTTCTTTCTGCTGACAGACTCTTTGCTCCTGAAGCTACCACTTCTATTTCTAAAGTACTGGTGGGCTTTCTTGCAGTGCTTAAATAATGTAGGACACACCCAAGCAAGACATGAACAGCCACTGATGGGTCTTCCATACAAACAGAGAGGTGCTTGCTGCAGACTGTATTTCATTTTTTGGCATCAGCTATGAGGTCTCTTGTATGCAAGGTTAGCAGCATTGGCACCAGTCCATCACATGATGAGCCAATAATGAACACTGCTGCTGACTAAACAACTTGTTGTTGGTTTGCACGATAAGCATGGACGTCTCTCTCTATATTGTTTATGTATGGACTAAGATACACCGGGTATTCGTGTTTGTAATGATACAGAATTCGCTCTTCCAAGGAAGCAAGAGACCCCTCTTATGCAGCTCGTGCACAGTTCAAGTTTCGTAGCATATACACATTGAACAGAATTCCTTGGAGCATCGAATTGTCCATGACTTGAACACCCTTTGGCAAGAACACCAGAGCTGCGTAGATGGTTTCCTGAACCACTTGGAGACTGCGAAACTCACAGAACTCATGGAAGATGTGTGCCTTGTTATTGAGCGCGACAATGGTGATTGCAAGACCTTCTTGAGTAGCTGCCAAGGCAATGGTATTCTCCAAGCATAGATCATATAGCTTGAGGGCATTGAAGACGGAGTTGTCATCCACACAGCCACCTGCCAAATGATGGACAAGGGCCAAGTTGAAAAGAATCTGAGATTTGTGGAGTGCCACACGTTCGGCAGTGAACCCTTGAGCGGCATCTGGAGAATAAAAGACGAAGGGTTCGTTGTAAAGAAAGAAAGTACTGTTTTTGAAAGGACTTGGAGCACGGGAAGCAGAGGGGGAAGGCGTGGTGGCATGGGGCGGAGCGCATTGGCCAAGTGGACTTTCTTTCAAGACGCCTTCTGTTTCCTGAGTGGACGTGACGTAGTTCTGTAGCTGCTTGGAAGATTGGATCCCGTGACGATGTGTTGAACAATGCTGTTGGGTGTACTGGGGATGGGCCTGGCCTCCTACGATCGGGGTGGCGATTGGATTCTGAAGCAACAATGCAAGCTCGGCTTGGCTTGCCATGTCCAGCGCATTTTTGAAGGACTGATAGGCATTTTGAAAGTCCCCATTTGCAAGACAATGGGCGCCGCCATTGTTGAGCATAGCGGCGCAAACCAAAGCCTCCATGCCAACCTGAAGGGCATCTCGGGGAGAAGTCATGTTGCAGGTCATGTTGGATGAAGATTCGGATGAGTGTTGTTGCTGAAGCGAGAGCCAATTTTATGAGACGAAGTTTATGAGAATAGGATAGGAGGCAGATCAATTGTTGCTTTGCGAGTTTAGTTTGCCCTGTGTTTGCTCGCATTCTTTTGCTCATGATTTTTGCTCAAACATCGCTCACAAGGTGTAGTTGTTGATCCGGACGTGACTGGGACCAACCGTTCCCACAGAGTTTACGCTTCATTGTACTATTTTAAATTAATTAATAGTACGGTATCCTTTTAGAATAATACGTAGCTGGGGCACTCATCAGTTTGTTCTTTCAAAACGGCGTACATGCTATGTTGCTATGTTGTACGTACTATTGGTACCAACTGAGTACTCGTATTCTAATAGCTGGCTGGCACACGTAGAGTATGTTTTGCTGGATGTCGTAGGTACGGTACCGTGCGTGCCGTTTACCGTACTGTAGACGTCATCCTGTTCCATCTTTCGTACTATTAAAATAAAAACTTGAGCAGAAAAATATGAGCAAGATTCTTTTGACGTGATGCAAATACGGCTGCAGCTCCGGAAAAGGAACATTGTTGCTATAAGACAAACCAGCTGAAGTTTTGACAATCGCTCCCCCAGAAAACAAAAAAAAGTCAAAGAAGTGAGAGGCTTTGAAGACCCTATTGTTTGCCCAAAGCACTTACCAGGTAGAAAACTTCGTAATCAGTGGGTCATTAGGTAGATACCGGTAGGTAGTCTAGATGTCCAGATAGCAAAAATAATGTAGGAGAGGTACCCTCATGACTGAGGTGTCAGAAGAACAAAACACACAGGCTAAGTCCAGAATACCCCTGATAAGACACAAGGACCAGTGATCCAAGTGACGGTTTCAGAATTTGTCATTTATACGCATTTCTTACGGTTCAATGGTGAGAGTAGCTAATTTCAGTTTTGGTTCCTCGGCCAGGGGAAGACACCATTATTGCCATGAGATTCTCTCCTATTTCTGACACGAACAAAAAGGTGCACTGTACGCGGTTGTTACGTTTCGCTCCTGTAACAAAATTTTCGGAGAAACTCCTTCCGGAAGAGCGAAAGGACTGATGGCTGATGGAGTATCAACAACGGTATTTTTGTTTCGCTCTTTTGGTGAGCTGATTGTGGTACTATGGCGCTTTCGGCATTTATTGTCATTTATTTGTCATGCTTCGATGGTCAAGAAGCCGACGAGGACAGAGGGATGCTTCCTGGCTATTGCTGATGGAACCCCTTTGTTGTGTTCCTTGACATACAAGCAGTAGACAGCAGCGAGGTGCCGTGGAAAACGGGAATGTGTGCTATATCCACTTGTATTCTGCACAAGAACCGAAACCCGAGAGTGCCTCTCAATTGCCTTGCTTCGACAGATCCTTTGTAAAACATGGCTCCCAAAAAGGAAACCTATGGTCTTGACTCCTAGCATCATTATCTCAAACCATGCTCCAGGTTGGTCACAAGTTGCAGAGACAAGCAGTACTGGTCTCCATTTATCTTGGCTAGAGGCAGCTGCAGGTACGGTACCGATCGCGGCGGCCACTGGTCGGAATTGACACTTCCAAGCACATACGGTATTGGGACCGGTTCCGGTAGAGGCGAACCAACAATCTATCTTGAAGAGAACCAACAACCGACGGACCAACAGTGTACACTGCCTACATCCTCAAAACGGGATGGGGGGAGAGAGATCAATCGATGACGAACCATGGCTGCACCATTGGCTGTCCGTGGTTCCAACTGGTTCAGTTGGAAAGCAGCTTCGTGCCTTTTGGATGATGAGGGCGCAACGTCTCTTCAAGATGTTTGTTGACAGTGCGTCGTCGTGCCCTGCCTGTTGGAAGCAGTGCATACTGATGAGGGACAGTCTATCACAAAGGATTGTTGCCGTTGGTTTCCTTGCTTGTGCACCGGCAGGGCAATCCAACCACTGCTTCCAACAGTGACTCGACTCGAGTGACAGTCCAAGGGACGAGTTGAGCGAAGCGAAATAAAAGAGATAAACAGACGTCGAAGGAAAGAGTCTTTCAATCTTCTAGTCAGAATTGAAACCACAAGCATACATAATTTGTAGCTAGTCTACTAGTATGTCTGTCCTACGATTTTATACGACAGCATCGAGTGCTGTGCCGATCGCGACCGCCTTATCTGAGGTTCAAGCTGAGGGCGCGCAAGCTTTCTGTTCTTGGCTGCTGCAATTCGTGCGGTATCTGGCCAGGGCTAGCTACCGTGCAGCATGGCACGCCAGGAGTCGTTGCACTTGTATTCTTCGCAAATGACTTCAATGATTCCTTCATTAGATCAAAGGCACTGCGCCCCTCCGAGAAAAACAATGCTGTAATGATAGCTCATTACAGCTCGACGCAAAAGTCAAGGCAAGCATTGACTTTCCTCAAGTTCGAAGCCCCCTTTTCGCATTATTCCCGATTGATTGCATTCTAAGTTGGATTCCGGCCCTTGACTGCCATGATCTGAAGCCGGCTAAGTGACCGCTTGCCATCCAATGAACATCCCTGACACAAGAAGAGACCCTTTCAGCTCCATTTTACCGGTATTCTCTGCTGACAACTTTCTTTGTCGGTTCAAACAGCTGCCAGGCCATCGCACTATCGCACTATGCTACAACTGCGTGTAGATTCTGTTTTCTACATCATGTCAACGCATCAATCAAGCATACCAGTAGTAAAACACTGGTGCGCCTTTGCTCAAAGTTGACAAGGTGGCAGGTGGCAGCCATCTCCAGCCAACAAAAGGGTCTATTCCAGCAGGAAGTATTGAAGAAAGTTGTATGTGGCGTCATATACACCGGGCTGGGTGCTCTCACTTGGACCAGCAATGTTCAGCGTCTCAACATTGTAACTGGATAACCAATTATGGACCGATTGAACGGCAGAATTCGTAGCATTCTCATCTAACAAAACTTCATGGACGGGTCGGCAGTAGTGCTCACAAAAGCTGTGTGTAGCCTGGGTCCCAGGATCATTGGGAATGGATAGGTACATGATGAGGGTGGCATCGCTATCTCGTACATTCCATTCTGTCCTCTGAGATCGTGGGACGTTCGGAGTCAGAAGACTGCAAGCTTGTGGGGTTTCGACGAGGTTGTAGCTGCAGGAAATGGTGCCATCTTCGGCTCTTCCCAGTGGTGGGCACCAGCCTCCCCAATGCAGTTTCCGTCCTGCACCATTCCTTCTCGCGGTGCCTGCTGCAACATCCAAAGCAGCGCGATCAACACCGGTTTGTCCTCCCGAAACAATCTTCTGAAGTACTAATGTCATCTTCGTCCCTGATCAAGTACAGCACCTGAGGTGCTGCTTTGGTCTTTCTGAGAGAATCGAGGAGCAGTGAAGAGTCGACTGAGGACTCGACTCGACTCGTTGCCGTTGGCTGTTTTTGCCATTGTTTCACATGTAGTGTTTACGTTAGAAGAGCGAAAACTGTATTTGGTACCTGGTATCAGGCTATCAAGGCTAACCCACAACAACACCAAACTCTCACCTCTCTTTGAATGAATTGAACCATTCAATCCTCCGTACGATGTGCCGCTACTGCGGCATGGCTGCTCGCTCCAAAGTTTTGATGCTACTCAACGTTGGTAGGAGCCCAGACCCAACTCGATGGAATCCACCAGAATAGCTACTGCAGTAGCTCATAGTAGACCATCGTAGCTGGTACCAGTACGGAATAGCAGCATGAGATGGATGCAGGAGGAGGTCAGCATGCGTCGGAGCCTCAAAAAGAGCGACCCAATACGAACCGTGATGATATTGTTATTGCTGCTGGTGCCTAAAACCGCACCATTCCTCACAACCAACAACCAGCTCTGTCGGTAGCTCTACTAGCATGATGTGCAAAGTGCAAAGTGCAAAGGTCAAGCCTTCTGCCCTCCAAAAATAATATCCACCAGTCCACCAGCCTTCGGTTCGCAAGTTGACAACATTTACTTATTTCATCATTTCAATGCCACTCCTTTTCACTCCACTGGACTGGGCCTGTCCTGGCAACCGCAGTTGTTCTGTGATGGTGTTCGCTGTACCGTCGGGGCTTCGGGAGTTCGGGTGTTTACTTGCCACATGTGGCTTCCTTCCTGCGGTACCGTTAGGTACATTCTACTGACAACTTTACTAGCTAGCTAGAGCCGCAGTGCCGCAGTGCCGCAGCATCTACCGGTAGCGGCGGTACGGTAGCAGGAGACCTCCACTACTAGTCTACTAGCTGGCTAGCTAGCTAGCAAAATACGTAGCTCCTGGGAGATTCCCCTCCAAAAATATCACTAATACAGAAATAATAACTAGTACTCGAGTAGTCTACCCTTTTCAATAGCACAGGCAGCCCTTGTTGCACTTTAAATCTTGTGTGAAACGTCGCAATTCGGATTGGAAACATTCTGAGCCATGAAGGGCCGCCCCCCCTTCCAAATGCAACGTAGCAGGGAGCTGGGAAACATTTATTTGATCACATCAACTTTCTGGAGTAGAAACATGAAACATAATATTATGAAAAATATATGATCAGAGCTATGATCAGTTAGAACTCGATAGACTAGACTATATTATCATGTTATCATGGGGTATCTTCACTCTTTTTATTGTAATAATTAATTTGTCCAGTGACTTGGAATGGAAGTCTCTCACTTCCCAGAAAACCAAAAACAAACTGACGCAAGCAGAGCAATGCGAACATTTGGGGACGTGATTGACCAAGAACCGAGATCGGTTTAACTGGCTGTCATCCTTCTCATTTGCAGCACTAGAAAGTAAACTCGGGTGGGACGATTGCGAAAAGTGACTGAACCGAGGCAGCTCTGAGGCAAGGTTCTCCCACACTAAACCAAACTCTGAGCAAAACGGTAGACTGGGTAAGTGTAGGGATAAATACATATTTGACTAAATATTCTTGTACCTCACTTACCTCAAATCTATGATAGTGCTGTCTTCCCGATATCGGGGAGTAAAGAGCACTCCGAGACTGAGTCACCCTCCCAGAGTGCTGAAAGCGAAGTGTAAACTGTAAACTGGGAATGATTATACATGTAAGAAAAGACGACAAGTTCGTATGTACGTGTGTGTACGTGTGTCAGTTTGTGTCTGGACTGTCACTCTTTTTGCTGGTATTTTCAATTGCTCCGTGCGTTCAGTGAGCAGAACTGGAGTGCCGGCTTCGTATTTGTGCAAAGGTGAAAAGTGAGGAAACAGAACAGTGGGGCTGAATTCGTGGCATGTGTTCGGGTTGTTGTCCAAGCCGCCTTCGGGAAGACTGCTTGGCTTTTTGGCTTGCATTGAAGGTGTTTTTGGTTGTTGCCGTGGTACATCGCTACGCATCAAATCAGTACAATGGATATTATTATTTCGCCGGGAAAAAGGGAAACCGGCTGCTGGGTCCGAGCTTCGGATTGGCAAAGTGTTCGGATTTGACTCCCAAAGCCAAGGATACGTTTCGATTCCTTTTCCTTGCTCACAAATTGGCTTCCCCCTGTCATAAACCTGATCCCAACGTAACCATCTCTCTTCGAACCTTACGTTGCTTCATTAATCTGCAACCAACGAACAGACCAAGAAAATGGATATGATGAATGTGTTGTGCCGCGTCGCTGGGTTGAGCTCCCAAGGTGCCCATTTCCTCAGCAAGAGCGAATTTGATGAAGCCTATGAGTACTTTACAAAGGCATTGGACATGCTTGTACGGGCCGAAAACAACTGGTTAGTACCCTCTTTGAGAAGTTCATCCTTGATGGATCCCATGCAGATGAACGAATGTTTAAAGAAGCTGCCACAGCACAGACCGGGTTCCCGAGAGGTCAAAGCAAGAAACTTTCAGAACAGCGCCTTTTTTGTGTATGATGAACCGTTACTGTTTGTTCCAGATTCCGAGATTACGATCAAGTCACTTGCATTCTACAAGGCAGTCCTCTTGTTCAATGTGGCATTAGTACTCCACAAGAAATCCAACTGCGTGGATGCCTGGTCCGTCTACCGAGCCCTTCACTTCTATGAACTGTGTCTGGAATGCTGCAAGGAGTGCAACGATCATCCAAGTTGCTTGGAGATCTCCGCAGCGGCACTGAACAACAAGGCACACATATACTTTGAGCATTGCGAGTTCTCCACAGCAAGGATGGTACTGGACACTCTGCTGGTGACCATGATCTTTACACATGGTCGTCCTCTGGAGTTTGAAGAGAAGAATACGCAAGGTATCCTCTTTAACCTTTACATGCTACGAATGCCAACAACAGCGCAGACGGCTTGAACGAACGAAGCAATGATGCAACCCAATGAACATACTTAGACTACTGTGAAAACCAAATCAATCAAGCCTTCTCTCCTCCAAGCAATTTCCAAGTGCAACTGGTTGCTTCTAACTAGTTGCACCCCCTGATGAAGCTTCGATTCAGCCAGCCAACGGCGCCGCAAGCAGGAACATCCGGGGCTTGGAGCCTTTCTTCTTGTGTCTGCTGCTTGCTGCCAGTGGACCAATCAGCTGCTTGACACTAATACTTTACACTGCTACATACTCATCTTCCAGCTCCCTACATCATAATCTTTTACTAGTTTTGACTGCATATCCTTCATTTGTCGCATGCATGCACTTCTTCACATCGTGCTAAACATCGCCTACAGCCTTGAAAGTACCAGCATTGCTTCATACCATACGAAGAGGAATGGTACATGATGTTAGTCCAAGATAGAACTCATTTCCCGCCTTGGAGCCACGGCCGGCACCAGACAGCAGACAATGCCAGACAGCCATTGCAATGATCTTGATGCTGCTTGTCACCACGTCCAACAATGGACGAGAGATGACAAGCAATGACACATTCTCTTGGTGTGTCAGAGGCAGCTGCTGTGCAGTACTGGTAAGGTAGAGGTGCAGCTTCAGCAGATGTTGTTGGGTAATAAGTAGGTTTCCAATTTCCAATGGCCCACTCTATGATATCCCGCCCTAGCGTATTCAAGTGCGCCAGTGCCCCTTTTCTCTTTGTTATCTTACTTTCAATTAAAGGCTGGTCGCTTCCCACCCAGGCTTCCGTCCAACGCGAACCGTGGTGCCAGCTATGCTGGCTACCGGAACGCTCGGACATTGGACGGTATTGGTGCGGTACCGGTAGCCAGTACAGCTGCCTGTACGTACGGAAGAGGGCTAGGTTGCGAGTTCAACATTTAAGGTTGAGGCTTTATTCCTTTGAAAAACTGCTTAGAGTTAGTGTTGACAACTCCTACCAATGACGGAGTGCTGTCAAAATGTCAATTGCAGGAACCGGAGCTGACATCATGGCGAATGATGAATCTGCTTCCACAAAGTGCAGATTCAACCGCTCTTGAGATTCTATGTCTCCACAAAGCAACACGAGCAGATTCGATTCATTGAAAGGTTGAGCTACCTGCCAGGCATCTAGTTAATACATTGAAGCCAGTGTTTGCAACATCATCATGAGGACGGTCCAATCTCTGACGTCCCTCTCAACTTTGGCGGTGGGATCCACCGTCGCCTTTTCTTCCTCTCTGGCTTGGACACAAAGTCATTCCTCGCTAGTAGTGAGCCTTGCGGTAGTCCCAAGTGCCAACGGCATTCCCATACCTCCTCCTGTAGAACCAATCTTAGAAAACACCATGAGCACCAGCCTGTCTTCTTCCACTGCAGCGTTTGTAGCCAACACACAGCCTTTCTTGGCAGATCCCACACAGTTGCTGGGGAAGCAGCAAGTCTCGCTACCTGCTGGCCTTGCTATGGCGTCGGTACTTGCCGAGGAAGAAACTTTGGTGGCAGATAATGCTTTCTTGTGGGTTCCACCCAACAAGAGCCTGAGAAACAAGTTGGTAGGTGTCGTAATACATACCGGTGTTCACTTGAAACAAACTTTTCGCGCACTCACTGGCTTTTGGTTGCAATACGCCCAACAGAAATTGCCCACCACGGGTATCACACAGTTGGCTTCTAGCACAGAATTCCAACGCCCTCGCATCGTGGGACACCGAGGATCTCTCTATGAGGAGCTAGAAAACACGCGTGCTGCCTTTCTAGCATGTGCTGGGATCTGTGACGCGGTGGAACTCGATGTGTTCCTCTTGAAGGATGGCAACGTTGTGGTCTTTCACGGAAGCGGAGATGACCGAGATCCGGGACTCTTGAGGGAATACTGTACCAATGTCGATGAGGTACAACAGGGGGCCACCAGTATCTTGGACTTGACGCTCGAAGAGGCACAAAAGCTACAATTCAGCACGAGCAATGCCGAACTGGCAGCCCCCGCGGCCAAGATCCAGCAAGGTAAGATTCCTACACTGGAACAAGTGCTGCTGGATCTGCAGCCGACAGGTATGGAGGTCAAGATTGAACTCAAAGGACCAGGAACAGCTCGACCTGTCCTGGACTTGGTAGATCGACTGAACATGGTGCAACAAGTCTCTTATAGTTCCTTCAATCTTAACGAGATTGAGACGGTCCGACAACTGAAACCACAACAAAACTCAAATGGAAACTATGTTTATAGAACCGGTGCACTCTTTGACGAGGTGCCATTGGATTATATTGAACAGGCCCGGGCTGTGGGTGCCAGTGAAGTTCACCTGAGGTATGATACCTGTACTGTCGACCGCATCAAGCAGATTCATGGCGCCGGCATGGGCAGTATGGTGTGGATGCGCGGACCTGTCGGGATGAAGGCAGATGCGACGCAAAAGTTCTGGGATATTGGCAATGAAGACGAATCTTGCTTTTCCGCCTTGGTGGAAACTGGAGTACAGCAATTGTGTGTGAACCGTCCCAAAGTTCTGTACGACCTTTTGGAAAAGCAACCACAAAAGCAATCGGAGGTGCAAGAGGATCCCGTTGTCACTGTCGCTGCCTGGCCCCTGCAATCTGTCCGACCTGTACTGAAGGTCTGATGCAGATAGAGACAATTGAAACGTGCACGCTAATCAATTTTGAGCAAGATAAAGAGGCAATGCGCATTGCACCAGCGCTTGCTGCCAAGTGACGCGTCTGAATAGAAATAAACTAGAATTAAAGCAGCCTACAGTCTTTTCAACACAAGTGACCACTACGGTTAGATCATGTAACGGTGCAATTCAACATCCATCCTGCACTGTTGATATGGCTCGTCATCTTCGCAGGGACCACTATGGCTAACGGTGCTTTTCGACCTCCATCCTGCACTGTCGGTGTGGCTCTGACTTTCTCACCGTCAGGTGTAGCATTTTGCTTACTCATCATCCTCCGTCACCGTCTCTGGCACAACCTCAAACTCCGAATCACTATCCTCTGATTCCTCTGATGCAACTGATTCCTCTGATTTCTCCGATGCAACTGATGCAACTGATGCAACTGATGCAACTGATGCCTCCGATGCAACTGATTTCTCCGATGCAACTGATGCAACTGATGCAACTGATGCAACTGATGCCTCCGATGCAACTGATTCCTCTGATTTCTCCGATGCAACTGATGCCTCCGATGCAACTGATTCCTCTGATGCCTCCGATGCAACTGATGCAACTGATGCCTCCGATGCAACTGATGCAACTGATACCTCTGATGCAACTGATGCCTCTGATGCATCCGATTCCTCTGATGCAACTGATTCGTCGTCACTGGCACTGTTGTCATGAAGAGTAGTTTCTGCGTCCTGGGGAGCCTTTTCACTTGCTTCTTCCAGTTCATGATCCTTCCCATCGTCACCCACAGCGACAGGGACTACGCGATTTTCACGTGGAGCCTTGACGGGCACACGAATAGTAAGAACGCCATCTGCGAGGAATGCTTCTAGCTCTGCGGTGTCAACAACACTCGTATCGAGGGTGAAGGTGCGTTCAATGGGAGCGACTCGGCTTCCACGCTTGCGTTCTCCCACAATGTCGAGCTTGCCATCGTCGTCTACTTCAACCTTGAGAAGGTCAATCTTGACTCCAGGAACATCTACTTCAAAGCTTCGGATGGTATTGTTGTCATCATTGCCTGCGACAGGGGCCGAACCGGCGACCACAGCGACACGGCAAGGTTTGGTGGGTTGCCTCTTGGGAGCCACAATCTCGAGGCTCCCATCCGTGAAACGTGCCGTGATTTGAGAAGGCTCAACGAGCTTTTCATCCATCATGAATTGACGATCGAACTTGATGCTTTCTTCGCCTCGTCCTCGCTTGCGTTCACCATGTACGCGGAGGACGCCCTGACTAGATACTTCCACAGTCAAGTCTTCAGCCTTGACTCCAGGCAGATCAGTATACAAGAGGAATCGTTCAGCCTCTTCCGTGACTTGCATGTAGCTGCTGGATAAGACCGAGGGATCCCTTCCTGCGGGAGATTCGTCACATGGTCCGGTCTTGTGGCCATGACAACTCTTCATTCTTCCAAACTCCTCAGGATGAGCCAACGTCCAGGCGAACGATGGATGACGAAGCTGAGAGTGGTGGAAAAGGGAACGGCGTGGGCGATAAAGGAACATGGTAAGTATTTGTTTGTTTGCTTGCTTGTTTCTTGTTAATTGAGTTTTTGGTTTGTTGAAATCCAATTTGTGAGCGGATGGAAGCAACGGGTTGGAGGGAGTTCCGAGTGGGTGCATGTCTCACCAGATTTTTTCCATTGAGTTCGGAGAAGGTCTCCGAACTTTCCATCACTCTCCGGATTTTCACTCGTGACCAGAGCATTGAAACGAGTCGAATGAGTCGAATCGTGCTCAAGGATTGATAAATCTCCGAGGAGCTGCTGGCTCGGCCGCCGGGCTACGTCACAGAAAAATGAGGACACTTCAACAATCTTCTGAGCGTGGTTCGGGGTTCGAACGATGACCGCGGCCACATCCAAGCGAGGAAACGAGGCTGCCCCCACCAACGCAATCTGCCCTGTCGTCGTTAAGCTAATCGCTTTGGTGGTATTATTTGATTGACGGACAGAAGAAGGGTTTCATTATGGAAGACAGGTCCAGTGCCTTTTCTGGTTCCACTGGTACCGGTGGCTACGAAACCCCAGACGAAGAGGAATCCCCAACAACATCGAGGACAGTTCGGTTTGCTTCGGAAGTACAAGAACATGAACATGACGCTGGCCGTGATCGTGTTAGTGATGTCGATATTGACAAGAAGAGGTTCATGTTGATTAAGCGCCCTAAGCTAGGTCAGGGGATTGCCGCCAGGGTCTTTCGTAGGTATCCTCGCTGTTATGCTTTTTGGATAGGAATGGTGTTTCCACTCTGGTTTCTGGTGTTGCTAAGTATGCTGGGAGGCCGGCTACTGGGTGATCTGGAGTTTGACACTGAAGTGGCAGGGAACAACGAAGCCATGAGGAACCGACTGATGGCTAAAACCTACGACCAAGCTGTCAGTGATACGGTTTCATTTGCTCCACAGGTTTGCTACACCCTTTTCAAACAGAACATTTCTGTCAGCAACCTTACCAGCTACTGGTCCGAGATTTTGGATCAACAAGATAGCCTGCTAGACTATCTGGATCTGCGACAGGAAGAGCTGGTAGGAGTTGATGATATGATCGACAACGTCACGGAATTCTCCAGTTATTTGGGTGAATGCGGAAGGGTTGCCGATAACTTCACAAACAATATCCAACAAATATTTTTTGGAGACTTTGAGATATCTTTTTCTGGATCAACCAAACTCACATTCAGCTGGAGTCGATGTGTCAATGTGACTGACCCAAGTCGCTATAATCATATTTTCCAACCGAGACTGTCGCATATATATGCTGCTCGCCCTGAAAATCAATCAAAAACATTCTCCACAGCGTGGCACGAAGATCAGCAACGACTTCGGATTCAATATCTCCAACAGTATCGAGCTGACAATGTTTCGAATGCTCGTCTGAAAGCATTCAATGCCAGCATCTTTGAAGCTTCAGCAGAGCATACCTGTGCGGTCAATGTTCCTGCAACTGGTACGTCAAACAACAACAGAGGATGATCAAATCTTCACACCTCAATTTAGCCTTACCTGCCTCCCTATTGTCTTGTGATTCCCAGCCTGGTTTTGGTTCACAGTCATGACCACGGTCGGATATGGGAACCAAGCTCCTGTTACATTGTGGGGTCGAGTTCTCATATTTACCTTTGGCTTCTACTCGATCCTGATGTTTGCTGGTGTCTTGACTGCGGCGGGTGTAGTTACATCGCTTCTTGTCAATGATTTTGCCATTCGGCTCAGGTTGCGGCTCCTCGCCAACAAAGTTGTCATGATGATTGTCTGGGGTCTCTTGTGGGTTGGATGGCTGGCCTTTATGTCAGCTCATGCCATTGAATGGACAAGGTGGCGCTTGGAAGAACAAATGTCCTGGGAAGATGGGATGTGGTTTGCCTTTATCAGTACCACCACTGTTGGTCTGGGCGATTTCTACCCAACTCCCGAAGTCATGTTTACGTCAGACATCCTCATCTTTTCACTTTCATTCCTCTTGGGCTTTGTTCTCCTCTCTGCATTTTTGACAGAGATGGCGCTCTCCATGGGGTACTTTTTCCCAGATCTGGGTGAAGAATTGGCCAAGAGACTCAAATATGTTGGTATTTCGCCCTTTGAAGGATGTCTGCATGGACCACGGTCCGATTTTGATGAGGCAGAGAGACCAGAGGATTCACCGTTGTCTTGTCAGGGCAGCATGTTGGGAAAAGAACCGGAGGTCCCTGCCTTGCCGGAACAACCTCCACACCTTCAACCTTTACGGAAAGACTCGGATTTCAATGGTTCGGTAATGAGTGGGTCATTTGCGTACTATGGACCAGAGGTTGATGTTGATGAATTGAAAGCAAAGACCGACATGTAGGAAAGCGACTACTATCGCTGCCATGGCTGTCATTTCAAGGGGCCCGATTTCTCAAAGCTGGGAGTCATAGAGCAGTAAAGATGGACCCTCGTAGTTTCTGGGCAACCAAAGGTATGTTCGGAACAACAACAATCTTTATTAGCATGCATGTGCATTTCATGTTGAAGGATGAAAGTGGGCCTGCTGGTGCACTGTGTCCCAATACATGGACGTAGCTCCGCTGGTGTGCGCATCTAGCTAGCTCCTCGTCGTAACCTTTTCACCATGACACCCCCACGCGCCCACAACCGGGACCTATGGTTGGACCTACCGCAAACAGCACTAGCTGTCCCGACATATTGGCTATGATATCGTTGACAGCGGGACTTTCGAAACCCTGATGCTTCATGACATCGAACTAACTTACTGCGGGCTGTCTGGCCTCGTTGTATCCCAAAGACCCTCCGCTGCGAGCAGCCTCGTAGTGTTGGATAACTTGACTAGCCACAGTTAGCTAGCTAAGCTATTAAAATAAATTTATTTTATTTTACATTCTGGTTGCGGTCGTTGGTTTCCCCCGCCTATTTTACCGCAGAAGAACCTTGACAAGATGTTGCGGCTACAGAAGAATCCCCGTGTGTCTCCAATAACTCCTGGTAGACCGTTTGCATGTCTATCATTCCTGCTGTTACTACTCGAGGTTGCGAAATGCCAAGAAGAAGAAGAAGAGCCGGGCGAGAAAACCACCGAATATCGTGTGGTGGTTTCCGTGCTGAGTCTGGTGATGATCGTCTCCTTTTGCGTGGTGATTTGGACTTCCATTCCCCTGTTGTATTTGCAAGAGCGCTGTACGGTATGCTGTCATGCCCTGTCTCAATGGCGGATCTGTCAGTGCTGCTGCCGTTTCCTTGTCGTAGTTGGTGGCACCCGAAAGAAGAAGAAGAAGAGGAAACGACTACCGGACGCCGCCATGGACGTGCCATCACCAGGGGAGACTCCTGACACCACCATAAGCAGTGAATTGGAGTCGCATTGCTGAGGAGAAAAACGTACAGCCAATTTGGTGGAATTTTAAAAATCACCTTGTTCAATTAATTAAAAGGGGGGAACAGCTGTTATCTAGTAACTAAAGATAGATGCCTACAGCCGTTGTATTCAGAACCTTTCAGTCCGGTTGCTATTACAATACTACCGTATTCTTTAGAAAGGTAAGCTCATGGGGCTCAAAAATTGAGTCAAGGTTCGTCCCACACTTTTTCAGAACCACCCAAGAGGTGCATATGGCAGTACAGCAGGATTCCTGTTGGTGGAGAATGGAGTGACTCCATCAATGGGGAACATCCAGTGCCTGCATATCTCAGTCGAGCCTCGTCTACAACAAAAGTGAGTACAGTAGTTTTTGGCTCAACGTCATTCCAGCATCTCTCTTGAGTGTTGATTGATTGATTGTGTTTCGGGATTGCATATTGTGGGTGAGTACCATGATGCTTGTTGTCGCATTACTTGTACCGTACAAATGTCTGTTTGTGTGTTTTTGTTTTACAACTCTGTCTTGCGTTGTGCTAGAACCGCCTTCATGAGTATCAGGTCACCAGAGCCGAGTTGCTTCTTGTCGGCATCTCTCTGTGCCGTGGCAGTTTCGTATTGCGTTTCAAGATCTGCCACTGCCGTCTGGAAGTCGCGTTCGAGTTTATTGACTTCTTCCAATTTGTCATCCATTTCCTTGTCGAGTGCCGTGACTGACAATTTCTGCAACCGCCGAATTTCTCGGCGTGTGGTTTTATCGCAGAGCTGCATATGGGTGGGACTGCACTGCGGCTTCAAATTCTTGTCGGCAAATTTTTTGAGATTCTCAAAATCACGAGGACCTCCGTATTCTTGCAGATCAAAGACACTGCCCCACTTGAGTGTGGGAAATCCCGTGACATCTTCACTTGCGCACAGTTCTCGGGCATTGTCGTCGGTACAATCGACTTCCCAATCAATTTCGACTTGGAATTCGCAAACACGTCGCCCAGATCGTCCCACGCATCCTCCATTGAAATACAGTGGCCTCACCTTGGTGAATATAATATAGTCACGAAAGCATAACATGGGATAGAAGGAATCGAATCAGATGGACATTTAGAGACACCAGCTACTATACTATACGGTATCTTACATTGGATCATAGAACTTTAGAAAGACAATTTTGTTGGTTGTCAATTCTTCGTAGTTATCATTGTTTAGTTCTACGCCATTCACAACTGTCGGCGCAATGGCGGACAGCACGAACAAGAAGGAAGCAAACGTAGCCGCTCGTCTCATCATCATGGTGATTGTTGTGCCTTTCAAGACAAGAGAGGGAAAATGGGAAAATGGGGAAAGAGAGAAAACGGCGGATTCGTGAGCTCTAGCTTTAACCCTAAACCTACGGGTGAGACCGTTAGAGCAATGCCAATGAAGCCACAAAACGAAGCTGCTTGCACTCTCTCATCTTTCTTCTTTTATGTTGTTGTTTCTACTTTGATCACTGCTTCCTAGCTACCGGTAGCTTGCTCCATTCTTTTTGAATAACAGATATATCAAAGATTCGCCAATGAATACAATAACAGCCTCTCAAGCCTGGGCCATTCTGAAGCGACAGGACGTGATGAAATAGCGACATTGCGTTGGAAGATTTGTGCCATGACAAGGAACGTGTCTCTCGTTGGTGGTGGTCCACAACTCGGCAACGCCCGTTCAGGGGAAGGAGGCAATCACAATGGCATGATCTTGATTGACTTGTCTCGACACGCATGACGCTGGAGACCTTGAATCATTTACTACGACTCAGTGTCACCAGAGGCATTCGACAGTACATTACTCGATTGGCATGGGGACAGAATAATCCCGATGCTCCTCTTCATCAGACCAATACACATCATCCATCGGATGCATCGAGAAGACAATCCTCCAGAAGAAGGGGACGTCCATTCCTCCTCTACTTCTCATGTGCCCCTATCAACACTTACCAGCACCCAACACTACAACAACAACCTCCAAACAATGAATATTAGTAGTCAGTGCTAGTCAGTAGACACGGCAAATACCAGTAAACACGAATCAACAACAATCAAGCCACTCACGGCCAAACCAACAACAAACAACAACACAAGTCAGACAAAGACAACAACACAATCAAGCAGAATATTTTTTTCCAGACGTCATGCCATCGATGCACTTGGCCCTGCGAGCTCCCAAAGACCAAGGATTGCACATGCTCACATACGATGGTGTCAATGCGCTCACGGGCATTCATCGAGAATGGGATCGTCTCGAACGACTCTGCAATTCCATTCGAAGAGGGGCTTGGAGAGGTGTCACGGGACACATGATTCGTAATGTCGTCGTTATTGGAAAAGGCGTTGCCATTCAAGCACTCCAATTCGTACAGGCAGCTCTGCTGCAGGATGAAACGGCAATCATGGCCAGTCGATTTGGATTGGACAATAGTTCGAGCGCCATGGCAGCAGCTACCAAAGACTGGAGTGGTCGATTGCTTCAAGTTCGTCGAAGTGCGGGTACTACTTCTACTACGAATACTCCTCATGCTAATGTCCGACCCCGATGCAACAAATGGGTCTTGCTCACAGTCGGGAGTCCATTGGCGCGGAATCGTTTGTTGGCGGAATTGGATGCCGCGAGTACCATGGTGATTAGTTTTGCATTGCAGGGGAATGAAGAAACCGGATTGGCCACGGCGACTTTGAAATCGTGGCTGCTGCAACAATTGGCACCCAAAAAGGTCGACAGTGTACTCAGCAAACACATGTTGCTGATTACGGGAAATGATCAGATTGCCACGACCATTAACAAACCGGAATCGGTCTTTCTCATACCCGAGCATTCCCGATGCGAAGCATTCACGTCGTTCTCGGCGGCTACATTGTTGGTAAGTATGCATGGCTTGTTTGGATCTGCTCATCAAAAAACTGGTCTTTGAAACACTCAATCTCTCGCTTGCACACATTATCTTTGGATCTTTTTTTTCTTCACATCCATGATGCAGCCACTCTCCATTGTGTACGGATGGTCCATTTGTGAACATTTCCTCACGGGAGCTCATGACATGGATTGCCACTTTGTGGAAACCAATCCAAGGCACAATCTGCCCGTCTTGCTGGCACTCACGGATGTGTGGAATGACACGTTTTTTGGAGCGGCGTCGTCGGGGCGGATTGTGACTCCCTTTACCCGCTCCATGAATGGATTTCCTGCCTTTGTCGCCGCACTGGAAGCACAATCCCTCATTGCCAAGACCAACAACCAACCAACGAAAAATCAACTGTCGTTCGCATCTGGCACCAATGCCCGTCCTGCTTGCTCGTCCTGTGTTGGAAATGGAGGAAGTGACAGTGCCTACGATCGAGCACTGTACCAGTCTTCCAAGATTCAGTATTCCGAACTGGTCATGGTGATGAACACGCAACTCAAGGCCAACACGGCGCGGAATCTTGGAGCTCAAGGAATGGAAGATTCTTGCTCATGCAGATGCCTCGGTGATTTTCTTTCCTCTTTGCCATGCGAGAAATGGCATTTGGTGGCGGAGCCAAGGAAGACTCTTGGAACAACAATGACAATAGTGGTGCTGCCAGTACGACCGGCAGTGAGGCATATGCCAACCAACCCGTACTGCCAAAACACTACTTTCAAAAGCAAGAGCATCTCCTCCGTCAACAGCATCAAAACAACAGCAACCAGCAGCAGCCGCTGTCTTCGCAAGGAAACCGCCCCAGCACTCTGTTGATTTGCGGAAAACTGGATGCGTACGCCTGTGGACAGCTCATTGCTCTCTCGGAGCATCGAGCGGCCATCAAAGCTAGGATCTGGGACATTGACCCCTTTACGCGGGAAGCGGGGCATTCGTTAAAGCTTTCTCGTACCGAGCAATTGCGGGAAGATTT